ATCCCCCTTGGCCGTACAGCAGGGGGAAGGAAGAGATGTACTTTCAGACTTGCAAGATTCTGGTTGTGTTTCCTGTCTGGTCTACCTGGTAAGGCTGACAGAACAGAGTGGAAATTAGTGTATTTCACTGCTGAAAAACTCAACTGATTTAAAGCCTATGAGTCTCTGTGCTGATTTTTCCACAGGTAGTGTGTTGCTGGAACAAAAAAACTTTGCAAAGCTGTGTCAGTTTTATCAAGGTATGGACCAGGAAGCATAATGTTTTAAAACTGGTTTTTTGCTTCTGGATGTCTTGTACATCAGGCTTAGGTGGTGTGTCACTCAGGGGTAAGCAATTACTGTTGGAAGATCTGAGGTTTTAAAATTTTGAATTCTGCATTCTCATTTCAGTATAACTTTAAAAAGGAAGGGGTCCTGAATTCTTGAGGGGTAGACTGATGCAGAGGAACATCTGTCCTCAGCAGCGCCAACTGCAGTAAACTGTGATGACACAAGCACACACATGCCACAATTACATACTTGCATCAGGATGATGGAAAGAAGTCAGTATTTGCATGATTACATCATCGTGCATGTGTCACTGGCCACCATCATGGATGTGCATGCTCCCCATGCACTGGCTTACCACATTCTGAAATTGGGAAGTCCTGAATGAGCCACATAAGAGCTTCCTTTGTAAGGCCTGTAAATTGTTGAGTTTAGAACTAGCACATCTGGGCTGCAAAGATCCAGATGATCACTAGAGGGCAGCATTATTATTATTTTTCTATATCTCTGTTGCCATCTACCACTGTCTGAATGTTTGCAATCTGGACACCCTATTTCAGACCCGATCCATAATGCTATGCTCTGATTTGCTTTACCTGCGCGTGTAAGATTCAGGCTGACCGTAGCCTACTCCAGCCTTCTCCAACCTGGGGTCTTTCATGTATTGAAGCACAACAACCATCTTTTGTATTTATGTTATCATATTTATACACCACCCCTATCTGAATGACTCTGGGCAG